TCAAATAATACATACATTTTAACAGAATTCATGCGAGTGCTTTTATGAGATTAGAAGTGCTTTTAAACACTTTAAAATTGGCCCCATTGATGTTCACTAAGTGGCTCACAGTGACCCTGATTTTTTAAATTAAAAACAAAAAAGAGAAGAGTCGACATTCATTTATGTGGTAATCAATGAGTAACCATAACCATTATCATCACCCTCATATTCTGAATCTCATTCTTCTATCATATACTTACAGTACATAGACTACTACATGTTGCCGAGAAGCAGAGCATAAAATCAAATATTTACTTGCCAAATATGGTAGGATAATGAGTGTTTTGTGAATGTTATCATGCAGAGCACATGATTGTTTTACAAATCTATTAATGTTGATGTAAAAAAATATATATATATATATAAAATAAAATATGGAATGTTCCATTTTTCTGTTCTAGCACCAAAGCAATAAGTGACGTTTAGAACAGTTAGTAGAACAGTCTTGTTTTCTTTTGTGCCTCTATTGTATTATTAAGACACTCATTAGCATAATTAATGTATAACTCTAAAGTTTAGCCCTCAGTGTGAGTATTTCAGGCTTTCTTTGGTCTCTTCAGCATTTCTTTTTTAACTTTTACAGCTGTCACATCACAAATGCATGTTGCTCGTTTGTCCATTAACCCTTTAATACAATGAACGGTCACAGGGTTTGCATGATGATTTAGTTTTTGCCTGCAAAAAAGTGTGTTATCAGAATGTCACTTAATTTTAATGTTGTTAATCGGTGCAATGAATGTCTATGCTACTGGCAGTGTTAAGCAGCTTCTTTTTAATAGCTATTGGTTGAACTGTGTTTCCACATGATGTTTTATGTGTAAAAAGTGTCATATATTTCTCATTGCAGCACTTTTACAGATGAGACAGAAGCACTTGCTGTACATAAAATAAAGCTATACAGTAATATTTATCATAATATGACAAATTACTAAAAAGTAAACTAAAATGAAAACGGAAAATATAAAAATAAAACCTAATTGTTATACTATAATAGTATTACTGATAATACTAAATAAAAGGGCCACAAACAAGTATACGTGTTATTCTGAGTTTGATCGCACGGGGGCAATAACGTTTAAGCTATATTCTCTGTCAGGACTCTCGTTCATCCTCAGATGCGTTTATGCTAAAGGTTATGTTTGGAGAAAGCAGATGCGGTTACAGGATAAATGATGTTGTGCTTTAAAGAAGGAAATCTAAATAATAAGTACCCATATACCTAATGTGAAGCATTAATTATTTATAAGATTATTATTTAACATTATTATTCATAAAACATCCCCTCGAAACAGAAACACCATTATAAAACATGTCAACCCAGCTGAAAAACATCTTAAATTAACCGAGGCTGATCTGCTAGTCTCCCAGACTGACCTGACTGATCTGTTGACAGTTTTAGATGGGTTTTGTGCACTTTCAGCTGGTCAGACTGGGAGACCATTTTAGCTAGAACCAGTTTCTAGGCCAGCAAACCCGGTTTAAGGCTGGTTTAAGATTTTTCACCAGAAGACACAATATTTAGTTGTGCGGCCAGTGATTATGCAAACTTATGAAGCAAAAGTGCTTCATATCTGAGACTACAATGCCTGTGTGATGACAAAAATACATACAAGGTGTTCAGTCTTCTAATAAACACAAGTTATGGTTTAGAAAGGACTGTTATCTGCCCACTCATAACAGTCAAGGCCTAACGAGACATGACAGCCAATCTGACATCAGACACACTCTGTCACATGCAAGTTCCTGTTTCCCCAACACGTGCTTTATTGTAGAGCGGCCAGTGACAGCGTTTAGCATAATGTCCAAACATTTCATGACAGGGATGTCGAGAGGCATTAAGAACCCTTTTAGCATGATAACAAATAATAATAAGAGTTCAAAGCGAGACGGGGCATTACCATAAACCAATACATTTTTCACTGAACACATATTGAAGGATTTTGTTTTAGAATTACTTTATGATGATTGTTTTAAAATGGCTTCACTTCAAGCATTCTGTACTTTCCAACTGTGCCCTGCAATAGGGTGTCTGGAATGACTTAATAACATAACACTTCTAGTATGCATTGTAGTATATACTGCAGTATATACTTAATATGAAGTATGCAGTAAGCATTCGGTTTCGTATCAATGACTGTCTGGTTTCATTGGCTATGTCTGAAATGAAATATTGCTTTCCTGGTTTTTGTTTACTGTTTATTATAGTGTATACACTGTAGGCTACTGCATACTAATAATATAATAATGGCACATTTAATGCAGCAGAAATTATAAAAGTATGTCCGTATGCTCTTCTGATCATGTGTGAATGGAATAACATACTATCATACTACCCCTACTAAGTATGAATTGCAGTATACTTTATGACGCCTGTCTGGTTTCATTGGCTAAGTTTTGGAATTGAATGCTACTCCACTATTAATGTGTACACTGTGTACAGTAAATAATCACTGAAGCATTATAACTTTATTTCATTTAACTTTAAATGTTTTAAAAACTGTCAAAAATACAATACAATACTACTCTAATGCTGTAATAGTATGTATACTGTTCACATTATGCAAATTTTCTGTACTCGTACAATACCCGGATAATTCACATTTGCCCATTTTGGATTGAAATAACATTAAAAATGTAAATAACATAAAAAAACACACACACACACACACACACACACACACACACACACAAAAACGCACAAACCATAGACAGGAACGTTCCTGCAGCTTCCCTATTTAGGTGAGGCTCCTCACAGCTTTTCATCCTATTTGACCTTGAGGGTTGGTTAATATATCATTAGAGATTGCTAGCTGAATTTGTCCTAGTATAAACACCTATAATATATATTTAAAATAATAAATTAGTCATGTTACGATTCTGAAGCTAAAGATTCTGAAGCTTATTAAAAGATAAATATGAAATGTGGTCTCTGCACTGTGTGCTCACTAGATAACACATAAAGTGATGAGTATTGGACAGAGGTGCACATTTTGAGATGATCCTGGATGGCATACTCCTCAAGGTCATTAGCGTGACTGTCTGTGTTCTAACATATGTACCAACATCTGTTATAGGTGGGCATTTAGGTTTTCAGCACCAACCGCTGTTTTCCTGCAATATTTATTTGTATTCCCATCATGCACTGCTTTCTGCAAGGATTCTTGTAAGGGAAGAAAATAAGACTATTTACAGTAATGTTAGCGCTTTGTGGTCTTTTTCAGTGACCCCCTATGTCATGGTCATTTTTACCATCTGCTCTTCAAAGACAACTGTACTTCAGACACTTGCATAGTTGAATACTATTATCAAATAAAAAAACTACAAAATAAATTATACAAATAAAAACTGTAATAAGAAAAACCTTGTTTGTTCGTGAATAACATTTCTAAGTAATGAATAAATTCTGTCCCTGAAAAATTATTATCTTTTTGGTCATTTATTGTCATGACCACATGCACATGAGTTTTTAATGAATGCTTTCTGCGTGGATATTGATGCAGACTGCCTAGAATTCCTTTCTATCCTCTCCAAGTAACAAGTACTGAACAAGTACTTTGGTCTAAAAATAAGTTGTTTTCTCCCTGTCAGAACGTGTCATTCTCTCTCAGTGTCACTGGACCAAACTCTCTTGACCCTAGACCCTGTATGTATCATATATACAGGCGACACCAACAATTGTGTGTTATATTGTCTAGTTTATATACTGTACACACTGTTTAAACACTGTACATAAACATCTCTATATTGAGGAGTGTAAAACTGTAATTTTTACTTGGCAAAGACAGCACAATTATATTTACACATACACACACACACACACACACACAAAATAAAGATATATGTTTAGGTGAGAAAGTACACAAACAGCATGATTTTATGTGTTGTTGTGTGCAAGTACATGCTGCATTTTCAGCAAACACACACACACACACACACACACACACATATATACAATATATATATAAAAACATCTTTTGTTCTGATTTAGAGAGTTCAAATTACACTACTAACGCAAATAAAGACACAGAGGAGCAATTTCATATCCATTAATATTTTTTTTACTACAAAATGATCAAAATAAATATTTACAATTTTAACATATTAACCTAAGGACACCACTTTCATCACAGCATTAAAGACCATGGGGGAAAAAACCTAATGCCACTCTCCAAACACACTGATCATCAATATGCATCAGGATCATTTGTGTGCGTGTGTAGTGTTTTTGAGACAGAATGAGAGAAGGCAGAAAGGATAAAGAGGACAAAATACAATGACAGACAAACATATTGTGTGCTTGAGTAAAAGTACATGTGTATTTATCAAAACGAGGGGTTGCTGGAACAAGGGGGGACCATAAATTGCACTTTCAGATCAAATGCAAATTAAACAGAACTGGGCAGAGAAAGACTGATCAGTATGGTGTCCTGAAGCTTTGAAATTGTCCATGTACTGTCCTTTTCATCCAGATGTCCGTTGCTACAGTTTTCTGGAGAACATGCTGAAGGCCTGAATGAGGTTACACAGTGTTTTTCATAAAAAAAGGGCCAAAGCTGGACTCTGACCTTGGCTCTCATGATACAAACAGTGTCTTCAGAGGCGGTCGGTGTTCTGAACACTTTCTATTCCATTTCTATACACATTTGCGCCGTTAAGTTAGATTAGTTTCTCGTCCAATTGGATTTCATTATATCATTCATAAAGACGTCTGCTCTAAAGTGAATGGACGAACATTTAAATACTTCTCAATTTTTTTTCAGTAATCACATAAATCAAAAATAAAATATGCTTCTGTGGAAAAAATAAAACAGTCTAGAGGGTACCATGGTCTACGACTGCACAGTGATTATGCAGGGCATGGCTTGGGAAAGAGCATGGAGCCAAAGATTACTTGAAATTCACAACTAGGGGGTGTTTCAGACTATGCCTAGGGTGAAATGATCATCTTAAGCTTGGTTTAACTATTCTTCTTTACTCGGTAAGAGAGGTTACCGCACTGGCATGTGATTACAAACGTGTGCAGTCCAGGTACCTCGATCTTCAGCATGCACAAATATGTGAATGCACGTCTCCGACTTGGAGTACACGTGGAGGAGACAGAACAAGGACGTCACAAACACAAGAAGCTTTACCACGGCAAGCTACGGCAGCGAAAACAGAGGAGCTCCACTTACGACTGCCGGGCACCTACGTACATCTGACCTCCTACATCTCTACTCCTTCAGTGGCGTAGACGTTGTAACCCTCTCTATATGTGGCTAAACTCTGAGTGCTGTGGGTGGGACTGGGCCCTGGGGAGGGATGGGGGCTGGGGAGGGGGACGGGACTGGGGAGAGGAGAGGAAGAGGGGCGACGTTCAGACTGTTCCACCTTCATTCTCTTGGCCTCGTTTCGGGACTTGTAGCAGAACTCGATGAGGGCCACCAGCATGGCCAGGCCCAGGCCCCCGACCAGAATGTAGAAGACCCCAGCCACATTACTGAGGCTGAGGGCCTGTGAGCTCTTGTCCTGGATGCGAGAGGAAGGAAAGGAACAAGAAGACAGGAAGTTAACGTGGTGGGAGCGGAGCTCACGTACACTTGCACGCACGCATTCAGAGAACTACTCTACGAATCTACTCACTACCAAAACACATTCACACACATTTACAATTTACAGACAAATCAGTTCATACCTCCCAATCAACCTTGCTTAGCTTGCAGGCTAATCTGAAAAGCTGATGTTTTTGTGGCGACTTCTATCAGGCATCAATGCTTTGACAGCATTTTAAAGGGTGACAATTAGTATGTAATTACAGGAGATGTTTTCATTTTTCTTTTTGGCTGAGCTCTCAAATGGATCGTTAGCTCCAAGTGCGAATACACAACGAGACAGGATTTTAACTTCTCACTGTGTTCTAGCTTATCTCCATACGTGGCCTGTTTCTCGCTCCACAAAAGTTGGGCTTGCTTGGATTGTCATGCAAAGAGAAATCAATGGTAAACTCGGTTAAATAAATCTAGGATACCTTCAAAAGCCCAGTGACTTCCATTCCTCTCAGGTACTAGGCATGTTACTAAAAACAGAGATACATCTAAGAAGACATTTAGTGTGGAGAAGCAGGGCATGCTGGAACTATCCTGCTTGGTGCACATCTGAAATCTCCCTACAGATGAGCATGCGCTAGATACTGGTGACTTTCTGCCTCACTGAGCATTAGACAACAGTGATGGTCCCAGACTTGTGGAGACTGACCTTACTTCCCGAGTCCTTGGGTCCACACTCGCCCTTATCGTACCACCATTTGTTTTTCAGCTTGTCTAAGATGCCTGATTCACTCAGTTTCAAAACGGCAAGGTTTACGGGGGTTCTTCAACCACGCAGAGGAATGTAACACAAATAACATAAATAACATCATAGGACATGTTATTTTATGTTATTCACTCATAACAGCTGACACAGCAGTTGCACTGGCAAAGTGACCGAGCCAAGGGTCCCGTTGTGATACATGTCTCTGTGCTCCATTTAAGGGAACAGTGTTTTAGGACCTGGCACTGGAGCTACAGACATATGAACAGGACCTTGCTCCATCGCTTTGGGTAACGGGCGCATACTGCCACGGCCTGCTTCTCTACCAATGCTGGAGGCAATTACTGTTAAACCACAATTATTGGCATATACCATAGGCACCAACCTTTTCATATCCCTCTAACCAAGGTCATTACAGTTATGAATTTTTTTTTTTTTTTTTACAATTCTAATCCGTTTTAGTGGTTACATTTCTGCTTTTGGCAGATGCTTTTATCCAAACTGACTTCATGTGTTACTTGTATATAAATATATACAAAGTAAATAAATAAATAATATATATACACACACACACACACATACTCTATCTATATATCTATCTATCTATCTATCTATGGTAATAATTGTAAAATGTTTTTATAGTTTTAATGTTTTAGTGTTATTGCTATCTAGTGCCATTGAAATGATTCAAATTTTGGAATCTTAATTTTGTATTTTCATTTAATTTCAGTTTCAGTTTTGTTTGTTTTTGTTTTTATTTCATTAAAACTGCCTATGCCTTTGACTTTGGTCTTTAATACATAATCATAATGCGACACTGCAGCACCTTTCAAAAGACAATGAATGCTCTCTGAATTCCCATAAAAAATGCAGCTAATGCGCCTCAGGAGAAGAATAACAGCAACTAAAGATTCTGGAGGTAAAAAGACGCAACTATTTCAAAGGAGAAAAAGTTCCTTGATGGGAAACATGATGAAAGACAGACGAGGGAATCTCTGCCCAGTATTCGAGGCGAATATTTGTGCTCTGACAGTAATTGCGTTCCTCTCTCTCTTCAGGCTAAACAAGGTCAGGATGAAGGTCATGTATGAAATTGTGCCCCGGCAGATGCTCCCGTTACAGAGGAAACTGTTTACCCGCGTTGGTTGACATAGTGGCTAACCTTCTCACCACCTCCTCCGCTGCCACACTCTCCTTTGTCGTACCACCACTTGTTTTTCAATTTGTCCAACAGGCCTTGTTCATTCAGTTTTAAAACTGCCAGGTTAACTGCACTTCTTGAAACGATAAAACATAGTTTGTCAGTAGCAGCAGTTTGTCATAGTTGAGCAGAATCCAATCAGGTTAAATTATGAAAGAAAGGGGTGGAAAGCTCTATAGATTAGTCACCCATTCCCACCCCACCTCCCCTTCGAAAACACTAAAACACCGAACCACGAAGAACAAACCTCTCTTTTTTTGTTTTCATGTTAATTTACACCACCCTTATTTGTCTACCCTTACTACACACCTCCAGATGGAGGAATGGAAAAATCAATACCTGCTCTCTGCTTTAAACCCCCTCCCCAACCCAAGCTACCCTTATTTCCCATCCTCACTCGACTGCTTTACTATGCCCTCAATATTGCTGTGAGATGCGCACAGGGACCTCACGATATTGAATGCCTGTTACTTTCCCTATATGCTGCTTACAGACAGTTTAAATGAGCACTGAGGGTTTAAGCCACTGAAATGAATGAGTTTGATCCTATTCCCCAGACCCCTGCATTCCCACATCTGGCTTAGCCACAAGAGAGCTGGCAACGCAATTCTGCGCCTAAACACCAGACAATACCTTTCCCTGCAGTTCTCGGAATGCTTATCATTCTGTAAACAATGCTCTATAAATATAAGCATATCATATAAATTAATGTTATTTTACGAACTTGCTATGACAAACACTGGGGTCCTAAAGTCTAAAAGACCAGGAATAATGCTTCTATTTTGAATTTTTCACTGCAAATCAGCATGGTCTTTGTAAAATATTAAAACAATATCATATATTATACAATATTATATTAAAATAATTAAAACATAAACATTAAAGTCTTACGTCTTAGAACATGTGCATGTGTCCATCTATTTCTCTATGACATTCAGCATGATTTGACAATATTCATAATCATAATAAGCATATCGTGTTTCAATGGAAGCAAGAAAATCTGAACTTTTGAGATGTTATTTATTATTATTTATAAAAAAAATTTTTTTAACAAATGTTCTTATTTAATAATTAAAATAAATAGCGCAAAATATAGTTATATAATTTAAAATATGAATTAAAATATATATTTAATAATAATAGAAATCTTTGTTTAAAATGTCAAAATCCAAAAAACTTAATATTTTTATTGACAACAAAGTGCAGAATCTTAAATATTTACAAAATGCATAAATTTAGTCTAATTAATTTAAATAAATTAATAAATACATTAAAATAATAATACTTTTGTTTTCAAAATCCTAACAATTTATATTTTCAATAACAATAAATAAATAAATGTGAACTAGAATGTAAAATATTTACAAAATTCATAAATGTAGTAAAATTAATTTAAATAAATGAATTCATACATTTAAATTTAATAATTATAATAATAATGCATTTGTTTTAAATATTCAAATCCTAAAACTTTATATTTTCAATAAAATAAAATAAAATAAATAATCATTTCAAAATCCTAAAAGTTTATACTTCAATCAATCCATCAATTAATTAATCAATAAATAAATGTAATAATTTTTTGATGTGGTCGCAGACTTTTGGACTCCACTGTAATCTTGCTAATCTATGTTCTAGTTAAGGGTCAAAATGTACATGATGCGAATGATTCAAGAGAGGTTTATCCTGAATGCAGTTTATCCTGAATGCAACATTAATTAACACACAGCCCACAGGAACAAAGAACGGGATAGGGAAAGAATGTAGTGAGATACATCTGAGCTGAGGAGGGGAAGAGAAAGAAGAGCATTAAGGGCACTGTGCTGTAGATCTGAAGCCGTGTGAATCTCCTGCACTGGTCTGACGTCACGACAGCAGGAGAAAAGCTGTTACGCCATTGGACGCTCTTCCCCCCGGTATCATGAGAAGAGTCAGACAGACCACGGTAACTCCGCAACAAAACAGCTGATCCCGGGAGCTACCGTCATCTGTAATTGACTCTTCTCAACCTTTCTTTACACGGTTCATGGTACTTGTAATGCGTTTTAAATGTCTGTAACTTCCAGTATAAGTGGGGGAAAAGATTTGGGTAGCATCAGACCAGGCAGAATATTCACAGGCTTGTCCAGATTGTTCATGTTCATTGTTAAACATTCAGATTCTCATCTCAGAAATTCATGGCATTAACATGCATGCATCAGTTTGAAATGACCTGCTTCAGGCTACATTAAAAAACAAACAAACAAACAAAAACAAAAAATAAAACAAGAAAAAACAAACATATAGCACTACGTATACAAGACCTTTATCTGCACACAAGTACACATGAGAAAAGCAAAAAAAACTAGAAATAGGCACGCCAGGGAAGGTGGAATACCATAACAACACATGACATATTGTTATACTACTCCACCTACCTTAACTGTGAGCCCTTAGGCGTCGCCACCCCGTAGCCTTTGGAGTCCAGGTTTCCTCCCACTTTCATGGTGTCGCAGGGTTTGCGCTGCTCCGTGTACTCGTTCATTGTGGACTCCAGCAGGAAGGCGTACTTCCCTTTGGACTTTCTCACCCGTGCCACTCCCTCTGCCGTGGTCTTAGTGAACACCGTGGGCTCGGCAGACTTCATGTAGCTCCACATTTTCTCATAAACGGCAATCTTTGACCTCTGAAAGTTGGGTTAAAGATGTAGAATGCCAGTGAAGTGTGGAGGGTGCAGATTATTTGTTAGTCACTGAATTATAGTTCATAGGTTCTCAGCCTTGGGGTTGGGACCCCATGTGGTATTGTGGGAGATTTTTATGAATGCACTAATTGTTAATTATGCTAATTAATAAATGAATCTATAAATTATTATATAAACTACCGTTTAAAGGTTTTGGGGTCAATGTCTTTAATACTTTTATTCAGCAAGGATGCATTAAATTGATCAAAAGTGACAGTAAAGACATTTATAAAGTTATAAAATGTTTTAAATAAATGCTGTTCTTTTGAACTTTCTAGTCATCAAAGAATCCTGAAAAGAAATTAATTACAATATATTAAGCAGCACAACTGTTTTTAACATTAATAATAAGAAATGTTTCTTGAGCAGCAAAACAGCTTATTAGAATGATTTCTGAAGGATCATGTGACACTGAAGACTCGAGTAATGACTGCTGAAAATTCAGCTTCGTCATCACAGGAATAAATTGTAAGTATTAAATTATGTTATTTTAAAGGGGTCATATGACGTTGCTAAAAAGAACATTATGTTGTGTATTTGGTGAATTTAATTTGTTTTTACTAGATTTTGGATAAAATAAATGTGGTGTTTGATGAGCAAAAACAGAAAATTTTATACCGACCTCAAACTTTTGAATTGTTGTATACATTATATATATATATTCTTAAATAAACAAAAATACAATATTAATATTTATAGTTTTTTCAAGTGTACTTTTTGTCATAGGCTACAGGCATATTTCTATTTAAAATGTGCAGTTTTAGTTGATTATATTATATATATACTGTATATATATACTGTGTGTGTATAATTTGTTTTTAATAAAATAAATGTCAAATGTAGGATACAACATTATCTGAATGCAAAAGTGAACTTAAGTACTGTATAAAATAGTAATATGAGTTGCCATTCATAATCGGCCAGTTTTGCGATTATGCATATGAGATCCTAAAGCATATAGTTAAATTTTGTTATAATTCTAGAACCTAAAAAATTTGTTGTAGAGCAAACAAAGACTGAGAACCCTGGTATACTTTATAATTAAGGCCATATTTTATTAGTTTGGCTTATTAATCCCCCCCCCAATCCATTAGCTTTGGCCACTCACCCTGAAGAACTCTTTGGTGGAGCCTGAGTCAAGAGTACCATACGCTATGTCTGTCTGCTTGGCCAGGTCCTCAGCGCTTTCAATGGGCGACACCATCCTCTCCACAGTGAGGAAAGCAGCCAGGTTGGCTGTGTAGGAGGAGATGATGATGAGGGTGAAAAACCACCACACTCCACCCACGATGCGTCCAGATAGAGACCTACACCGCCGGAAAGGAAGAGTGGAGAGGAAAATGACCATGCAAGGAGGATTTGAAGGAGTAGTGAATGACAGCAATGAGAGCAATGAAAGAAAGGATAACATTGATAAAGAAGGGTAAAGGAGGAAAACATTGGGGGAAAGGGTATTGAGGAAAGCAGGAGGAGAAAAGGAGAGAAATGTTTTGCCAGTTTAAAAAAAAACACAGAATTACTGTTTCAAAATAATTAAATAATCAATACAGTTTAAAGGAATTGTTTATTCAAGAACTCAAACAATTATGCCGTTTCAAACCTGTATGATGTTATTTTTCCATGTAAACTAAAGTTCAAACATTTGGGTTCAGTAAGTTTTTCTTGAAATAAATTCATATTTTTATTCAGCAAGAATGCATTAAATTGACCAAAAGTGACACTAAAGACATTTACAATGCTACAAAATATTTCTATTTCAAATAAATGCTGTTTTTCTTTCTTTTCAATTAGATTAGATGCTGCACAACTGTTATCAACATTAATAATAATAAAAATGTTTCTTGAGCATATTACCAGCATATTAGAATGATTTCCGAAGGATCATGATGACTTTTGAACAGTTGTGTAATATAAAAGAAAACATTTTTGAAGAATCTTCACATTGATCTTCTCCATACGATGACAGTTCATAGTGACATCCTTCAAGCTCCAAAAAAGGGTAATAAACACCATAAATGTCTATACGACACAAATTTTGCCTCTATAACTCTCAAATTAAGTATGGTCAGGTTTTACATCAATGAAGTCTGGTCATGAGACAAGTAAGAATCTGTGACTTTTAATTAACATCTAACCTGCACCATAGGTGACAAATTCAGTAACAACTTAAAATATATTAAATCTATTCATCACAAAGGTATTGTGCTGCTTCAGAAGACTTGAAATCTTTCATTTTTTTTTGCTGACATCTTCCTTTAAATTCAGGTAACCAGGCAGTAGTTCCTCTATGGTGACCTTACAGAAGATACTGTAGATCTTCAGGACGTTACAGTATAAAATACAGCCTGTCAAAACAGTCTTTCACTGCAGTGATCATTTAATTGACTCTGTGTAGGTGAGGGTCTCCTCCACTAAGAGCGGTTGCCATGAAGACAGATTGGCTATTTAGAGTGGGCCAGCAGGGACGTCAACCACGAAGGGGGCGAAGTGCTAAAACCCAACACTGTTTAAATTCTCACCTCACCCCGATTATGCAAATCAGTTTACAGGATGGCGGTGCAAAACGAGCATTGCGAATTTATGCAGGCCTGTCCTTCTTTTTCCGCTGTCAAGGAAACACTGCTGCATTAAGACGCAGTGGTTAACATAATTAGCTATAAAGAATGGACTCAAAGCGGGCTGTCACCCACCTGAAGTTTGAAGCAGAGTACATTGTGTGACTTGAAATCCACTGCTAAACACTAACCTGCATGCAGAGGCACCATTCAGGTCAGATCAGATGCGTTGGGGCTCACGCTAACCGTGGTTAATCGATTTGACTTCATGAGACAAAGCCAATTTAATAAGAGCCTAAATTGAGTGGACACGAAACCAGTGAGTCACCCCTCGGGCCGCTCCGCTGCCCTGCCGCTTGGCATACAGTGTCATTCATAAAGACATATGATCCATGAACAAACATGAATTCTCTCTGGTCCTCATAAAGTCATTTCTTGTAAAACAGATCCTCTGATCACAGCTCAATGATAAGAATCAAACTGTCCCAGTAGATTTCACACATACACACAAGCAGAAAATAAGCAAACTATCACCGGTGTATCCCTCAAAGCAGCTCATTATCAAAGCAGTGCCATTAGAACTGTGAAATGGGATGTGCTACTGTCAGTGAAACCCTGCGCATTACTCACTACGCCGCTTTTATGCAGATTTCCCATTGAGAAGGACACATCAGCATGCGTGTATTTGAGCGAGAGAATGCTTGGTGAATTTAAATTACATTCTGAAACGTTAGTAGAGGTGTACCGGGGGTAGATTTGTAGAGGGAGTCAGAGAGAAAGAAAGCGAGACGCAGAGAGAGAAAGGAATGGAGAGACCTTGACATGCCATAGATAAATGCAAAGGTCACTATCCGCAGCCACAGTGAGCCTCCGGCATTTTATTTATTCATGGCTTCCTCTCGACTGCTCTGATTAAGATTTAATACCTGCAAATCAATTTCGCCATCCACGAGACTAGAGTCATTCACAATCACACTCCGCATTACTGATCAAATTGGAAAAATAAAAAAGTAAGCTCTACATTAGCCCATTAAAAATACATTCATTCCTATTTGGCAGCAATTTCTATCTCTTGGCGTTGTCAGATACAGCATGTGGCACCTTCAAACACCTGGATGTCTCAGTATGGCCTGAACATTAAAGGAACATTAACGTGTTACTTATTATAAAACATAACTAACTGCATTATGCTGTAACTTTTTCTCGTTCAGAATAGAAGGTATTGTTTAACATCGGAAGTGATCAAGTGTTTTTTCCCATAACATAAGTTTGTATGCATTGACATATAGGCTATATATCAGAAAATTTCAAAAGCTGTGATGTCAAGAATCCTTGAATATGATGATCCACTTGTTAGGGACTGACTTCCTAAAATAAAAAAATAAAAAAATCTACACTGCCACAAAAATATTAAGCTGTTTTCAACACTGATAATATGAATAAATGTTTCTTGAGCACCAAATCAGTATATGAGAATGATTTTTGAAGCATCATGCAAAACTGAAGACTAAAGTAATGGCTGCTGAAAATTCAGATTTGCCATCACAGGAATAAATTACCTTTTAAAATATATTAAAATAGAAAATATATATTTTTAATGGTAACAATATTTCACAACATACTGTAAATGCAGTGTTTGTTGAGCATAAGATTTCTTTCAAAAACATTACAAAATTTGAAAAACTTTTGAACAGTAATACATAATAAAATATATAAATACTATTATAACTAATTTATTAAATCAACAAAAATAAATGATTTTTTTTCAAGTGCAAATAATTTTACTGTCATAGGCTACCCTTCTATATAAAATAAGTAGCTTTGGCTGTCCTTATATTACATATTTTAATTTTTTTATAACATTTATTCGTATTATCAGTGTTGAAAACGGATTAATATTTTTATGAAAACCTTGATATATTTTTTCAAGATTCTTTGATGTATAGAAAGTTCAAAAGAATTTAATGCATTTCTTTTAGCAATTTAATGCATCCTTGTTGACTAAAAGTATTAATTTATATAAAAAAAAAATCTTACTGACCAAATTTGGTAGTGGTTATATTTTCCTGTACAACAACCCATTTACACTGTATCAGAAAATGTAATCCAAACATCATACAATATTTAATATTAATATTCATGTTATATAATACTATCCTCAAAAAAACTTTTGTAAAAAATTTTTTTTTCCATAATTTCCATGGACCTCCAAGCACCCACTCGCGGTTCCCTGGGCGTCCTCTGACCCCAGTCTGAAAGCCCCTAAGCAACATCACTCAAAGTTGCATTTCATTACTTTTTAATGCAGAATGAGTGTATTTACACAAGAATCAAAACCACAGGAAACAATGTATCTCTCTGTTCCATTTTTTGACAAAAAATGTCTTAACAGCTGGTCTTTTTATTCTCATGCACAACAAAACAGAAAACAAGACTGACTGCCATGACAACAACAAAATTTAGGGCAGAGTTCAAGGGCAGAGAAATCCACCGCTGCTCTGCGACAACAGCCAAATTGTTATTTCCGTCCACTACAAATAACTAGCTTGACTGGATTTCACTAGAGCACCATTCGTTTTTTGGAAAATAAATCCAAATGTCACCGATAAGCATGACACACATTCTCTAGTCTAGAACAATACCCATCATGCACAACTTCTACAATGCATGTCATGTGCACAATTGCTTCCAACGTGGAGAAAAGAGAGGTTTTCAGCTGTACTTGTCTGCAAATAAATACAAAATACAAAAATAAGTTATCTTATTTGAAAAGGTCAGATAGCTTTACTTCAGTGGAAAACAAGTCATATACGTCACGTGTTTTACTTGTAATGCAGCACATAACGCATGCTATTTTGAGGGTGCGTTTCATCTGTGTATGGTCATAAATCTAAAAAGGAAATTACAGTTCAAGGGTATCAACTGTTATCCCAGAGTGTCTTATGTAGATAAATGATTTGTGGCCTGAAATTATCATTTTGGCATGAAGAAAACCTGGGGCAAAGCTTCCTCCGCTGTAGCGCAATCTCCTTTCTCTCATTTCCGTCACTGTTACAGCACTGGCCTGGTGAGTCAATCATATCCTTACATCACTCCCATGATCTCTCTCTCCTCCTAGCCCTACAATCATTTCCAAGCCATCTGAGGAATAAAAGAAGTCAGTAAATAGAGGCAATTATTGGAGCAAGATCGACCATAAAATACAAAAGTAGGGACAAAAGAAGAAAGCAAGAGAGAGAGGGGGATCGAGAGAGACAAAGAAGGCAAAAGAAAAGGAAAATTGTTCTTTGACATACCAGACGTCTGTATAACGAGAGATGAAATGCTGTCATAGGTGTAGAGAAAAAAAAGAAAATCCTAGATTTTTAAAAATCAATTTTCCATACATTCCCTCCTCTTTATATCCAGTTAAGTACATGCAAAAACGTCCAAACACAAGAATTCTTGAAAATATTAATCAGCTTCACACAAACTTGAATAAATATTACCCAGTCAGTGCAAGTGAAGCATTTCAAGGACTTGACACTTCAAGAAAAGGCTTATCGAAAGGTTTTATATAAGGGCTGCAACGTGGCTTTTGAGTTGCGACACAATCTTACATCCCACACACCGAACCTATGACTATCATTAGCATATCTTAATTCCCCTTGAAATGATGCAATTTCAAGAGGCTTCATTCACCGAGGCTGTGTGTGTTCGAATCTGAAAATGAGTTTTTTTTAATCTTCCCATGTCTGATAGGGTCCGCTGCCCACATGCATTATAACTACAAAATCACTGCAATAGCGCACACGCCAGATGCTGGCTGTTTCCGAAGCCCAGGAAGCTGCTCTACCTGCCTGCTGATGACACCTGCCAGCACTCCTGAGCCAAAAACACGACAGGGAAAACAGGCAAGAGTTATGACCCTGTCCGGCCCCATCACACAAAACGCCCTCAGCATTTTCATACCCCATCATTCCCACATCATCCTCATCAATCATCTTCCTTACAAACTGTTTTACTCGCTGTGGAAACTGTGAACAAGGAGGATACATGGAATAGAGTGGTGCTGAATCAATTAATTACATGTAGCTTGACTGTAAGAAATCTATTAAAGGGGTCATATGATGCGATTTCAAGTTTTCCTTTCTCTTTGGAGTGTTACAAGCTCTTGGTGCATAAAGACTCAAAATGACAAAATCAATGCCTCAATCTGAAGTGCTGTGCTTATGAATCAATATTTCGATGGAGATTCAAGCTCAAACTGTGCATTATCTTATCACATAATCAAAGTTGAAGTGTGTAATTTCTGCACCAATTAAAATAATAACATAACAAACAGAGACCTGAAATCAAGTCTCAGAACAGGACTTTTCAAACTTTTTTTTTTTTGATGATCTCCTTACTAAAATGTAAACATAACAATATATTTTCCTGTATAAAGATTCATTAATACTGTATACTTCGCATGAAGTTAAATGTGTATATTTTTTCTACACTAAAAGGAAGGTGACAGGGAAAAACTACAACCTTTTTTTCACAAATATATGTGCAGATTTGGCTTGAATTTCTTACTGTTAAAACGCATAAGAATAAAAATTGCACAATATTTTTTATTTTCTCTCAAACTCTGCACACCTGCTTTTTGACTCCCTGGAAATCTCATGGAGTATAAAAACCCCTGTCTTAGACTATGATCTGTCTTGTGACAAATGGGTTTGGCACCACTGTGCTCCAAGAAAATGGAATGTGAAAATTAATATGAAATCAATCAAAATCTTTACTGCAGGGCAGTACAGTCCTGTGAGAAAATAGAAAGTATTTTAATGTCGAAAAATTACACACTTCAGCTGTTAAATATGCATATAACTATCAAGTGCATAAGAAAAAGAAAGCAAATCTGCACATTTGAATAACCAGTAGGCTATTAGACAGGGAAGAGGAGGACGAGGAGGAAAGGACAAGTACCGACACCCGGGTAACGCTGCTGTGCAACTGCGTCATCTTGTCTAAATCAAGAACATTGAGGTAAAGGCACATGCTGACTAAAGAGAATTAATGGCATGTACTAAAGAAAATGAATGGAAGTGGTTTTTCCAGATTTTTTCCCCCGTCATTTATCAATGGCTCCAATCCAACTCATGATTCTTTATTAGTTATATGCAAAAACGATGAAAAACATGATTCTTATAAGTCCTAAATGGGTCCTCTTAATCCAAATCAAAACCATAGGCCCTCTACAGCACTGTGATGTACAGGCTATAGAGCAGAAGAGATAGACTCTATGATTTTGACGGCTCTCTAAGTACCTGCTGTCTTCTGCCATGTGCTGTGCTTTTTACTGCTCTTGTCTTCCCCTTGGCCTGTCATGAGTGATTTCTTATCTGGTGGGGGCTGAAAAATAAAGCCTGTTTTTTTCTCTCTTCTCTTGATAACACTTCTTTAAGAGCTCTACCGTGGTCATGCAGGTGCTTATTAGACAGAGAAAAGAGAGGGCGGGTGGGGGTGTGAGTGAGCAAGAGCCAGCGCTGCAGCGAGCCTGATGTTAAACCCGCAGGCGACGAAAGGAGCAAGAGACAAATAACAAAAACAAACTGCCACACAGAGTAACAATGAATGACTAGCATATTTCCTGTGAGAACTAGCCGGCAGGACAGACGGGCGATGTGTGGACATCAAATGGGACGATGAGCGATCGGACTGTTGCGCAGGACCCCGGACCCCCCACTGGCTTCACTGATGGTAAAATTCATCAAGGTGCAAAGTGGAATGACACCTCAGTTACTTATTGAGGAACCGGTGAGACAAAGTGTGATGCATTACGTTAATAGAGTAAAACATGTTCAAGGGATAATTCACCCAAAAATGACAATTCTGTCATCATTTATTGTTTTCAAAAACTGTTTGAATTTTTTTCTTCCGTGGAACACAAAAGAAGATGTTTCAAATGCTTTTGTCCAAAAAAAATAAAAAAATATAAAAAGATCCCCCCCCCCCTAAGCATTTCTTTTTGAAATGTCTGGAATAGCAAAACTTTTGTTGTTGTTGTTTTTTTGGGTGAACTCCTCCTTTACGACTGGCATTTGCTACATACAAATGGAATATGACCATATCAGTAAGTATGTTTACATGCACTCCATTCCATTTCAGTTGGACCACAACAATAATTTGTCATGTAAATACTTTAATCTGACTGAAATCACTCAATTTTTTACCAGTTGGACTAACATATCTATATAATATGATTTTAGCTTGCCTTTGTTAAGCATGTATGGACTACAGCTGGCCTCAGCGTTGTGCGTGCGAAACGAACAACAGAGATTACATGCAAAATGTATTTAATATTTTAAATATTGTCATGTACACTACTGTTCAAAGGTTTAGGGGAGGTAAGATTTTTTTGTGTGTCTTTGAAAGAATTCCTCTGTGCTCACCATTTATTTGATCAAAAATAAAGAAAAAATTTTAATTTTGTGAATATGATTTCAATTTAAAATAAGCATTTTCTATTTTAATGCATTTTAAAATGTAATTTATTCCTGTGTTGTCAAAGCTGAATTTTCAGAAGCCATTTTTCCACTCTTCAGTGTCACGTGATCCTTCAGAAATCATTCTAATATGCTAACTTGCTGCTCAAGAAACATTTCTTATTATCATCAATGTTGAAAACGGATGTGCAGCTTAATAATTTTGTGGAAACCATGATTTTGAATAGAAAGTTCAAAAGAACAGAATTTATTTGAAATAAAAATCTTTTGTCACATTATAAAAGTCTATACTGTCAATCTAACCTTGCTGAATAAAAGTATTTCTTTAAAAGAAACACCTGGCACCTGAAACTTTTGAACGGTAGTGTATATTTGAAGACTCCAAAAATCACAGTAGCTTGATTATAACTGTGCATGTAAACGTTCTTAGTGATGGTTGTGACTGGTTGTTCCTCCCTCCCCAAAGCAGATACAATGAATAAACAGCGAGTGTTAATGCAAGTTCTCCCACTTGGCTGCTCCTCCGTGTTCTTTAATTCAGACTCATCATCAAATCACTATGGAAACTACAGCAATGACTCTATTTCAGGCATCAGATATTACCATACCAGAGACATCAACTGTATTAATTCCCTCTGCAATTCATATTTTTCCCTCTTATTTTTCTCGTGGTGGTTTGAGTTTACTGACCTGGGTGAGATGTCGCAACCCTGCTGCATGAAGGCTCCAAGGGAGAACCAGAGACTGTTGAAGATCCCGAACTCATTGGGGGGCTGGTCGCTAGGCAGACCGTCAGTGTCCTCCTCGGGCTCCTCGGTGTGCCACTCGTACGGGCTGAAGCGGCTGACCAGGAAGAGCACCACGCTCACGCCAATGTAGGCGAACACAATGCACATCCAGATCTCGTAGGCCAGCGGGTCCAGGAAGGAGAAGACACCCGGTTTGGACTTCTGGGGCTTCTTGATCATGATGGAGATGCCCAAGCTCATGAAGGGCTTCGAGAAGTCAATGACCTCCTCCCGGACCAGAGTGATAGTCAATGGGGCCACAGCGATTTCCGCTTTCTAGAACAACAGGAAAGCATGTTTTATATCAATCTTCTTCTTTAATCACTTCAGAATATGCTTATTTACAAGCAAAACAGACATAATGACTTTGCTAAGTTTATTAACTGAGCCATTTGATTGGATAAGCTAACACTAAATATTTGCATTCAAAGCTGAGATCTTATATTTGAACATTATACTTAGAGGAGAAAAGAGCGAATAAAAAGAGAAAGTAAAGCATAATCTGCCGATTCCCACCTCTCCTCATATCATATTTATAACTTCTCTAATTGAACAAGGCTTTGCATATTAATGGCAAAAAATCCAAGGAGTTAATCCAAGAGGCTTAATACTGAGTTTTGGGGAGAAGGATAAAACTGTAGAGTCTAAAGTCTGGCAGCACATTTTTCTGCATAGTAAATTCAAAAACTAGATTATTGTTGGTGACTTAGTGACAATTTAGACCTCGGCAGGGCTGCGCAAGACTAATCCAAAAAAGAAATTTAAGTTTCTCATACAGTAACTGCCTGACACTTTCAAGAGGAAGAAAAAAACTTTTGGGCTGTGTGTTTTCTGGTGCTCAGCAAAAATCTACAAGATGACAAGCACTGTCTGTATGCAGTGCTCATTAATAAATATCAGCCTTTGAATGGTTGGTTTGCCTTTCTTATTTTCTCTCTTCACCAGACACAGAACTAAAATTTTACAATGAAGATTGCTGAGATTTTCTGTCAAATCCACATCAGGCATTTCTTGAAGGCTTCATGTTTAAAATCCATACAATGAGTATTATTTTTTGTACTGTATAAGTCATTAAGGTTACAATCGTGTTCATTCATTTTGCTGATATTTTCAAACTCATGGAGTTGAAAACTACTGACTGATTTAAAAAAAATCAACTCTGTGCCCTGAAAGCATACAGATACATCTACAAATCTCATGCATAAGTCAGAACATCGCAAAAAGAAAGGAAAATAATTTACCCCGTACACCAGCTCCCCAACCATCCCGTTCCAGATCTTTGTCTCTGGGTCCCGAGCTCCATACTTTCCATCAGGCACGATGGAGATCTTATACTTGAAACCAATGTGTTTAGAGATTTCATATGCCAGATCCACACAGTAACCCTCATATTGCTCGTTCCCCTCGTACATCTCCCAGTTCTTCTTCAGCATTACATACGGCCCTTCCTGAATGAACAAAACAACGAAGTACTTTCAATGGCCAACATGTCACACTTTTATAAACAAATAAAATGTATAAAGTGCTGAAATTTAGCCATGTTGTTACATTTAATTTGTATTCTATAGTCTAAAGATGATGTATTGCAGAGTTATAGATGAATAAAAATGTTTTAGAAGCAGTATTAAAGATAATTACAGTCATTATGTGAGCCTGTGGCTCATTGATTTGCTATTCAAATTCTAGCCATAAGAACATATTGCTTTTCTTTTAAATTGACACGAGTCAATATTCTCCCACATAAAACCAACAAAACCAAGGATTTTCAATCAGGGATAAATGCTTTAACGTTTAAGAAAGGGTGTATGTATGAGTCCATACAAGCATTAAAATATAACATGAAGCACACAAAATGTGCACTATGTACTGTACATGATTCAAAGCAATGATAACTGACCCATAAAATTCACGACCACAATTTATTACAATTGCATGCCTTTAACAAACATTTGAACAGCAAACTGCTACTGCAAATCTGTCACACGCAATGACACAGAATTTTGCTCCTAACTTTAAAATGTATCACTGAAGTGTATAAGGGATTACAGTTCAGATGACAAAAAGGAACATTTGTGCAGGAAAAAGCCACACCACAAACGGTCATTTTTTTTCACATCATCAGTATGATGTATTTTCATAACAAACAATTTCTAACACAATACAGGTGCTATACAGCAGCACATAAAAATGTTTACTTGCAAGGTGACAGCAGAACATTTACATAAAAATCCTGAAAACCTGCTTCCCTTTTACAAATATGTTCTAATCCATATGGCTAGCCTAAAATGATGAAAGGCAGAAAGCCCAGTAGAGAGAATTAAATATTTCACACACAGCAAACAGAGCTCTCCACACTGAATGTCAACGGAAGATCCTTTTCATCTCAAATTAGTTTGATGTATTAGAATGCAACCTTCTCCTGAAATCTTTCTTACAAGCACAGGGCGGTGTTGTTCCTGGTCAGTGTTTTTCTACAGGTAAAAACCAAAAAATAAAATAAAATAAAAAGGATCTAGCATTTGTAGCAGGTAATGCCTCAAGCGGGGGTGATCTGTACTCTTGAGTCATGAGGTGGTGTATAGGCAGTCATGCAAAATCATGTTCTTACAAACACCACATAAAAATGCTTCATTGCTCACAGTCTCTAAACTTAAAGGGATAATTCATCCAAAATGGAACCCATTTACACACCACCTGAGTTTCGAAAATGATGACTGACTTTCTTCCGTGGAACACAAAAGGAGATAGTTAGGCAGAATGTTCAAGCTGCTCTTTTCCACACAATGAAAGTGAATGAAGACCAAGTTAAATTTCATTCAGTGGACTTCAAAATAATTTCATTGTGTTTTTGTTGGACAGCTCTATTCTCTATCCCTCTTTATTGTATGTCCAAGCTGCTCTTTTCCATAATGAAAGTGATTGGTGACCAACCAAGATTTTGAGAGCAAGATTTTCCATTGAATAAGAGTAGCAACTTTTAATTGAATACAAATAGCATTGAATACAACTAGCAAATTTCATTCTATAACGTCAGAAGACTTGGATTATAGCACACAAGTCATTTGGATTGCTTTTATGATGCTTTCATGGTACCTTTTTGGTCCCCATCCACCTTCATTGTATGGAAAATGAGGAACATTCTTCAAAACTTTTTTGTGTTCCTCAGAAGAAAGTCATACAAGTTTGGAAACATGACGATCAGCAAACAATGATCATTTTCTTTTGTAAGTGAACTGTCCCTTTAAAATGTAAAAAGTATAGAGCATAATGGGAAAATGAGAATTCCTTATGGATATCCATGATATGCTTTGAGAAGTCTTAATGAATGCAAATGGACAGTAATGAAGATTTTATATACAGTGTGCTATATATACAAAACCTGCATGCTATAAAAACCTGGTTCTTCTGTTTGCGATACATGTGATATAAATGCTAAAGTAAAGACTTCGTTTGGCTTCCATAAGTCCATCCAGTTTTCCAGTTCTGGAAACACTACAGGTCTTCTCCATTCATGATTGAGTTGCTTATTAGAGCTTGTCTTTGTGGCTTTATTTTGGCTCAGGTAGTAGCATCCATGTTTTTGCCCTCAGTTCTGATTTGTCTTTCTGTCTGTCCGAGCTTCAGTAAGCGCTTGATTTCACCTCTGCAGAGTCCATCAGCTGTTCAGTTTCTTAATAAGGGGTTCCTCACCAGGGGCTGAAAAGAGGAGGATCTGGCTTCAGGTGTGACACTCCAAAACCTTAGCATTTAGCAAATATGTGTCTGAACGTCCGTCACATCCTTGAATCAGTGCATATGGATGGACGATACTGTTATTTACGGTCTCCAAAATTTATAGGAAATACAGAATGTATCCCAATCATGCAGTGTTTCAATTCCCACATTAGATTACAGTCGACAAAATGAACAAAACAAAATACAAAGAGTCCAAGACACCAGTTCTGGTAACTTTGACAGTACGTGAGAAAGGCGGATGATGCACACGGCGTATTCACAATGCCATGGCAGCACACATTTACACAGCACAGTCGAGAGATGCTATTCAGCACACGTAAAAACATTTGGGTTATCTGAATGGACAGCAGTATGACTGACAGGTCACACAGAGAGAAAATGCTCCTTGATGAACAGCACGGCGCAGCTGTGAATTTCTGCAATGTTTGCAGATCGGAATCTTTGTGTGTGCAAATTATGAAGAAATTCATCGCCATTGAGAAATGTTCATTTTTTCACCATGTGTATGAGAGGGGATCTTGGTATATGGAAGCTTTCAGATGAAGGACAAACACCACAAGTTATTTTATTGTAAAATGTGTCAAATAAAGTCTCAGGAAACGCAGCTACTCACCATAATAGTCGTCACAATCACGGTTCTGTTCTCCATGCCAGACGTTTCATTAGGAAGCAAAGCGTGATCCTGGGTCAGAACCAACTTATCAGCATCATTCCAATATCCGATCTGGAGATGGGACAAGGACGAGAATGAGACTCCAGACCCAACTGAGAGCAAGTGAATATGTGCAAGCCTGCCCATATGGGTAAATGTGCGGAAATTATTTTATGTCTAAACCGGGCTAAACTATTCATTCTTCATCTGACACCTTGTCCATACCATTCACATTCAATTTATGGACAAAAAACGTTTAAAAATGCATTTCAAATTTCTTCTTTTGTGGTTCACAGAATATGGGATTGGAACAAGCGGTGAGTGACAACAATTTTCAATTTTGGGTGAACTACCCCTTCAAGACTTGTTTCAGAGAAAGTACACTACCGTTTAAAAGATTAAGATCAGAATTTTTTTTTTGAAAGAAATTAATACTTACTACTTGGAAGTGACAGTAAAGATATTTATAATGGTACGAAATATTTCTATTTCAAATACATGCTGTTCTTTTGAACTTTCCATTCATCAGAGAATCCTGAAAAAAAAAAGATCACGGTTTCCAGAAAAATATTCAGCAGCAACGGTTTTCAACATTGACAATAATAAGAACAAATGTTTCTTGACTGGAGTAATGGCTTCTGAAAATTCAGCTTTTCCATCATAAATAAACTACATTTTAAAACATAAAAACAGAAAACGTTTTTTTTTATTGTAATAATATTTCTCAATATTACTGTTAATCAAATAAATGCAGCCTTGCTGAGCGCAAGTGTTTTCAAAAACATTTATAAATCTTACCGTCACAAACTTCTGAATGGTAGTGTATCTTCGACTGATAGATTTTGTTTTATTTTAAACATTGCTAAATTTGTTTTATAAGTGTTTGTGTAGATACTAAAGAGGAATGTAGTTATTTTGTGTGGTTTAAGAACACGGTGTCACCACTTGTAACAATTTTGCTGTGGGATGATAAACTGTCATGCTGAGGAGACGCGAGCAGCAGCGTGTGCCCGTGTCCTTACGAGACCCAGATGAACGGGAGAAAGAAGAGCCAGGCTCCAGCATCCGCCTAAAGCGGGGCTCGCGACCGGCTGATAAATGAGTGCCAAACCCTGGCGGCTCATTCCCGTGCTCCCCTCCACCTCCTTTTCTCATCACCCTGGTGCACTGCTCAACAGCAGCCAGGAGCTGCCATACTCCATAAAACACGGCAGAGGCAGAGGGCTCCCCATGACTTTAGAAGAAGGTGTGTGACACGAGACTTTATGGTCCGTACATAGCTCTGCTGCTAAAACCACCAGACCATCCGAGGCCGAACATTGTGCATTATTTTAAATCTGTACATTTGGTTGCAAATAACTACAAAAAATAAAAATAAAAAAATAATTAGTATAATTTTTTTTTTTAATAGATTAAAGTTTTGCAAATATGTTGACTATTTGCTAACGGACCATTTGAAAATAAATCCCCTCTCTCATTTTTATGTCCCTCACACTGAGACTAAATATAATTTGAACAGATTTATTCATTTGATTTCCCACAATCCCACAGGTGCATGACGGTCAAAGCCTGCTTGTCAAATAGCCCACTCGCTCCGTCAGCTAACGTGGGTAGAAAACAGAGGACACTGTCTCACAGGAAATACTTTGTGGGTGATTTGGTGCCAGAGCAGTTTCTGTGAAAATTATCACCCATCATTTGTGTGAGTCCTAATGATTCATATGGGTTTATAAGGCAGATAAAATGGCTGTAAAACACGATTTTCACCATGTAAAGAGATCCATATATGCATGAAATGGGAATGCGGTGGCGAAGTACTGTAAGAGACTTACAAGATGTAACGTACTAAAAAAAATAAAACCGCTGACTATAAAATAATAAAGACTCATCAGGGTCTCCTGGGATTGTTCTCGCAGAAACAGCTGCATCAAGTGAAGCACAGAGCGTTAAGCACATCAAGAAAGACAATGAATTACGCACGAAATGACACTCGACAGATGTAGAGAGACAGACCAAAAGCAAAGCCTGATTACACTTTCTCAGAATCAAAGATAAGTGTAGACAGAAAACACCCAGACAAGCGCATTTAAAGTAAGACATACAATATCAAAGTGGAAGAACTACCAATGCATGATACAAGAATGAAATCTTACCCTTCTGGGGCCATTATTTTTTAATTCGAAAACATCCATAGTGTAGTTGACTCTGCGCCCGTAGTGGTCGAACTGGACATTTCCTGTTAATCCTTGGAGGCGCACCTGGATTGCAGTGATTAACAATGTAATTACAGTTTATCCAACCACTGCAAAAGCACCTCGAAACACTTTCATTTACACATTCACTTTCTTTCTCAAACTTTAACATCACTTTCTTCTGGAGTATTAGCCCAAACCTGTGTTTCTTAAACAGGAGTTCATCTAAAATAGACAGAAAATCCTTTTAACCATGAATAAAAATAAAAAAATCTGAGAAAGCTATATACAGTGGAGCCAAATCATCAGTAACATTATACTATAAACTGTTGAGTTTGCATCAGGACTAAGTATAAATATACAAAAGTATCATCAATTCTGCCTGGACTCTTTTAGCAATGCGGCAGCAGAGCATGTTAAATGTGGGAAAGATAAACTCAAATTTATTTCTTATCTATCTGTGTATAATTAAAAGCAATTAAGTAATTTCCTTCCTTATAAAACACTCATGATTTAGTTATTTATAGTATTTTTACGTTTGACATGCACGTCCTGATTACTGATGCATATATAAGCGCTGTTTTTTAGATTAGTGTGACAGTATTTACATAGCACTGTAAATATCAAGTGTTATTGAATGTTAATCAATGTATTTTTATATATTTGTTTGTGAGGTGGGTTGTTGGGTCTGAGAACAGTTTGAGGTCCTTTAAAAAATGTGAGAAATTCTCTCACTGCTCTCTTCCTGCTCTCCATTTTGTTTCCTGTCACTCTCTCCTCGCTTTCTCCATCCTTATAGTTTCCTCTATTACACCTTTCCATTACCCCTGTCATTTTCTACCTACCATCAGTTCAAATTTGGGCATTTCGCATTTTTCAGATAGTCGATTACTGTTCTGTTCAGCCTTATCCCTCTGTCACCTCACAGCCTTGTTTTTTACATTTATTTCAGCTGCCAGTCTTACTCCCATTGAAACACGGTTGAAACTGCACAAAGCACTTCTTTCCCATCTCATATAAAGCCTGCATTTGCTCATCTGTGCATGTGACCTGTTTGAGTGTGCGCTCCATGTCGATGCCCTGGTTCCAGGGGGCAGCGGGGTTGGCCAGGCAGTCTCCGGCGTTGCCCCTGCGGGAAATGTCCACCTTCTGCCTGCGTAGGTTCCGGAAGGCTTCTGCCATCACCATCACTCCATCGTATGTCAGAGCGGAAGTGTACTACAGAAACAAGAGGGTCATGGAAAGGTCAATATATACAGTAATGCTTTAATGGTGTTTTGAAGGTTCAATTTGTGAACATTACTTAGCTAGTACATTAGGTATCAATGCATTTTACAGCATTTATTAATCGAGTTATATATCTCAACCTCTAAATTTCAAGATAATCGATAAATATACAATTAATTCAGATTTGTTCAGGTTATAAAATTTGAAATGTTAAAAATATTTTTTGAAGATTATATTTATAATATTACTGTACTTTATTCACTTCAGTGTCTGTACTACACCAAAATGCTGTTTATTTAACATGAGTCAATCAACCTGACTAGGTTTACACTAATGAACGCCATTTGTAAGGGCTGACGTCCTCATGAGCAGAGAACATCCAAGTGGAGTCATAGGGGAAAGCGGAAAGCAAAAGGGAGAAAAAACAAAAATAGAAAGGAAGGGACCAAACCAAGGAACAAACCAAAAACAGCAAGAGAAAAAGAGGAGAGCAGCGACTCGTACATGCTTGTCATTGCACATATTAGGAGCAGACAGAGCATGAGAAATCAGTGAGCTCTGATACAGTAGCTGTGAGGCGCTTCCTGTTCAGTCTCTGGTGGGTGGGAGTGGGGGGAGGGACGGTCAGCTGCTATCTGAGGCTGCCCTGATTGCACCAATAAGTGGCTTGTGCTCTTTCTCCCTGCCTCACTGAGATAAAACGGCACGGAATGAATCACTGCAGGCAACACATGGTATTTTTTACAAAGGAAACAAACCGCAACTCTGCAAACACGTGTCCTTTAGAGGCCTGATGCTCCGTGCCCTTGCTTTTCATCTGCTGCTGTGTTTCTTATTGCTGTCTTAGAGAGTATGATGTGGTTTGTTTCATCAAACTGAGTCAGACAAGGTCATCTGAGCCGAACGTACATACATGCACACTGTTAAAAAAAATACCCCTGTGATCAGACTGTCTTGCTTGCTTGATGGTTGAAAGAAGTCACTCTGGCCGTGCTGCGAGACAGTTTTTGGGATTCCATCAGCAGATCTCTAGTGTAAGAGCTGGGACTCTTTGTACCGTTACAAACACAACACAAAGCACACAGAAAGACCCCTGGGCTACAATGGCATACAGGGAACGGGATAGAACGACAGAGCAAGTTTGAAATAGAGAGAGAGAGAGATAACAGGAGATTGAAGAATGTATTTAAAGGGATAGTTCAATCAAAAAATACAATTTCTGTCACTATTTATTGACCCTCATGTCATTTCAAACCTGAATGCTCTTGTTTTTCTGAATGCATGTACCCTGCCATTCAGAAATTTGGTGTAAGATTTAAAAATACAGAAAAACAGTAATATTGTAAATTATTATTGCAATTTAAATAATGGTTTTCTGTTTTCATATAGTTTAAAATTGAATTTATTCATGAGATGGCAAAGCAGATATTTTTCAGCTAGTCTTCAGTGTCAAATGATTCTTCAGAAATCTTTTTAATATGCTGATTTGGTGCTCATTTCTTATTATTATCAATGCTGAAAACAATTGTGCAGCCTAATATTTATGTAGAAACCATGATTTTTTTTTTTAGGATTCTTTGAATAATAGAAAGTTCAAAAGAACAGCATAATAAATGTCTTTATGGTCATATTTGATCAACTTAATGTGGCCTAGCTGAATAAAAGTATTAATGAATTAAATTATTAAAAGAATTAATGACTCTTACAAATTAAATAATTACAGGATTTTCATTTTTGAGTGTACTATACCTTAAGATGTTTATATTTAGTCTACTTGTTTATATTTAGTCTACTACTGTTTCGTGGGCCAACATTTATTATCAATGCATAGCAGGACTATCTTTTGACTCCCGCAGGACAGAAAGGAAGTACTGCAATAGTTGTAGCTGAATCACTCTGGCTAATGCCCTGTTCTCCCTTAAGCCCTAAAAACACACGGATTGATCCCTGGAGAAGGTGTGTCCTCACAAGATGGTGCATGCCTTCGGGACACTTACGATAGCCTCAGCAGGAAAGGCTAACAGCTCGGAGATTTTATGAGGTTTTGGGGTGTCAGTCGTGCTGCTGTCTGAGAAGGGCTTATGGGAGTAGCTTAAAGTATTTGGGATGAAAGACAGAGCAGTTGAGTCAAAATACCACAGGGCAAGTCTGTGAGAGTGTATATGTAGATCTGTGTATGTGTTGACATGGTTGGACCACAGCATCTCATTTACACTCCGTTTGCTAGTCTGCCGGTGTCCCTCCCCAGCATCCTACTCTGGCCAGTGGTGTGCAGTGAGGAGCATCCTCCTGGTAAAGCGATGTCCCCTCAGGTCACGCCAAAGGGATTTCCGCTACCGCGGCGCCCAAAGTAGCCTTTCAAAGTATACTCCATTTGATAGAGTGCGCGAACGCAGGCGGTCCACTCCCTTGAGTATGTGTAAACACCTAAGCATACTTTGACCTTTACTCAACCTTGACACTCATTTATAAAACCATTGGATGTGATCATCAGACTCATTCTGGAGATTTGGGAGTTTTCTCAGAGTGGCTGGAGGGACTCAAACAGGACGTTTATGCATTTGCATTTTATGCATAATGTATCTGACTTCAAAGTGGTTCCACACAGGACCGGGTCAAGCAATGGTACCTTGGGAGGAGCGTCAGAGCCGGGATACTCGCGCTGGTCCAGCTTGTTCCAGCGCTGCATGAGTTTAATAACCATGGGATTGCTGAAGTCCACCAGTTGAAAGCCTGTCACATTGGCTCCCCCATGCATGAAACGCTCCAGATTGATGTCCTTAAAACCCTGCCAGAGCAAAGAAGTGGAAAGAGTAAGAAATACAGAGAGAGAGAGAGAGAGAGAGAGAGAGAGAGAGAGAGATTATTAAAATGTAGTTGGCAATGCAGCGCTACGATAAGAGAAATTCCACAAACATTCATATCCAGCTCGCCTCTGTGAGCCAATTCCGTGCACAGCCAGAGAGCAGGGAGAGAGAGCATGCTCTGCAGCTCCCAGCGTCATTAAAACACTGTCACTACCGCTCACACTGGAATACGAATTAGTCTCTCAAATTGACATATCTTGCTTAAAGAAAAGCGAGGATTAAGAAAGCAAAAGAACTAGGGAGGGCAGGAGACAGAGAGGCCGAGACAACTAGAGAGAGAGAGAGACCAGTGGAGTGGAGAGGAATATGTAGAAAGTAAGAGATAAAACAGAATGAAAGGAGGACAAGCTGACAGGGAGAATAAGGTGATAAAGGAATACAATTTAGCTCACCAAATTTGCCATGATGTAATGGTAGCCTTTGACATGCTTGCCGACACTTACAATCTGCAGAGATAAACCAGACATTGCAGTGAGGGCAAATCCTAAAAGCAAATACAGTTGTCGGCATTCACCCAACATTCAGTATGAATGTACAGAAGAGCTGGAAGCCGTTGGGAAAGCAGAATTCCTCTGTTATTAATTATTTCTGATCAAACAGGCTGCCTTTTCCCATACTTCTCTGCAATTTGAAGAATACTGAAGCAAACACCAGCAAAAATATCTTAAAATGACTTTGACAGCTACAAAATGTTGCAAAAGGAAATATCAAGGGATCAGTTTGCAGGGAATAAAGAAATATGCCCTTCTAATCATGGGCGTAGCTTGTGGGGGGGCCAGGCAGCGATTAAAGAATTTTACTAAATATTTATTTATAACGTTTTTTCTATGAAGTAAAAATGCATATAATGTAGTTAATAATACATGTAAAAGTTAATACGTAAAAGTTAATACATTTTAAATTGTTATTGTAAGTAAATTAATAAATCAAAACAAATTTAACGTCTCCCTCAATCTCATTTGCGTAAGAATTGTCACGTGACGAATCTGCATTTTGGTGGATAATAGACTTAACGGTAATGCTTGCCTGTTGTCTGTTTTATGTTCCGCGTTTTTAACAACATACACGAACTGCAGAGAAATCTGGAGACAACGAAAAACTCCGATGAAGATATTAATGCCGTGCTTGATGATTCCTGACCCAGACAATCAGATAAAGGTGATCCACAGGACGCAGCCGGTTTAGCCGCACATTACTTTTATGCCGACCATTTACATCCAAATGTTATTTAATTTTCACAGGACACAACCTTTAAATAGATTTTAGAATATAAACTGTTTATCGTCTATTCAGTAAGACTAAATAAAAAATGTGCGCCTCATTGCACATTGACTAGAATCAAGCCCAACAAATGTCTGTTTTAAAAACAGTGGATGAGTAATTCACTCCTTGATTTGCTTAATAAAAGCCTCCTTTGAGATCGTTTTGACAGACATGTTTATTGTGCATTTTAAACGTGTTTATTGCTAAGTTTAGTGTGGCAAAATAGAAGCGCAACTGTAATTCGTGGGCAATGTATGTGGTCACCATGACAACCTCACGCACTTGCCACTGCTCTATGTGAATGTGAATATGTAGATTTACTATAGCAAAACTAAAATGTGTTTAAAAGTACGTCTGACCAAATCCACCGGTTCGGTTTGGCCCCCCCAAGCTACGCCTATGCTTCTAATGTGTCATCTCTGCAAATGAATTACTTTAGGAAATCTGTTCTTTGTTCCCTCAGGACCTTGTGCTTGTGCATATTTAATTCTGTTTAGTTAACCCTGATGCACAGTGTACAGTACAGTTTATAGACCTTTAAAAACACGTTTAAACCATTCAGGGTGTGTGGTGCCTCATTACCTTTGACCCTGTCCCATAATTCTCTATGTGTATTTTATATGGCACTGTGTTAACACATAACACACATTTAAAATTAAATAAAATAGAACTACCTCTAGAATATCTACCCGTGTCTTTTATTTCAGGAGATACAGACAGATAAAATTCATACATATTAAGAAACACTTTCACAAACACTATTAGAAACCCTTTCATTCAGGAATTATTATTATTTTATTTTTTTTGTGAAAATACATCTGTCCACCACAATTATATAAAGTAAAAAAACAAATGAGAAGAAGAAAAAAAACAAAAAAACAAACACATGCGTACCGAACCGAAAGACCCGTACCGAAACGGTTCGGTACGAATACGTGTACCGTTACACCCCTAATACATACATATATCTTGATGTTTCTAATATACATTTTTTTTCTATTCAGATTTTTTTTATTCAATAATTTATGCATTTTGCATTGCTTTTTATATTGGCTTGACAACATCCTCTTATCTCACCTGTTCCAGCATGTTGTTCAGTCTCTCTGCCTCCAGGTCTATGACAAACGTCTTTTCCTGTCTGCGGTCTAGGTCTTCGAGAAGCTGCCGGTAACTGGCATCATTAAAGTTCTCGACACAAATGGCGCTGACCTGCCAACTGTTCTGGCCTGCCTTTTCCATGATAGCCTGCAGTATCGAATACCCTACAACAAAAAAGAGACAGCGAGGCATTTGATCAGCGTGTGTATCAAACCAAAGAAGACTTGAATCATTGAGCCACAGCTCTCATTTATTCAGAAAGAATGTGATTTGTGGCATCGTCAGTGAGTCATTCCTGTACCAGTGTGGTACTCTCTCATCTGCAACTGCAGGCCTGTGAGCGATCACATGGCGCAGATCATAGGGTGCTGATACGAACCTCCCGTCCTTCCATGCGGACTCATTTTAGGCCTCAATTCCCACAAAGCTTACAGACTTAGAAGCCTCAACAGTACACAGAGAAATGGACAAATACATCACATCTCTTTGGTTGCATGAACCTAATCTCCTCCATCCTTAAAATGGAAGCCATCATCATGCAGCGATACACGTGTCGGTTAAATTGGAAGACAGAAAGAGCTGCTTTTTGTCACCTTCTCCAAGGTGTGATTGAGGCTTCCTGAGAGCTGCATTACAGCGTTTGTGATTCTAGCTACTGGCCTCAGTGCTGCTTGTACTAATCAGACAGGGCTGGTGTTGGATATGTTAATCTAGCTGTTTGAAATAAGCACTTGGAGCCTCTGAGGCCCACTTGACTCCAGGATGAGCAGATGTCCCTGTAAAACGGACCCTTATGGTCACAATCAGAATTTGGCAACGCAGCTCTCTCAGCTCCACTATTTAATGGATTAACCTGTGCTTGATCTGGAAACCCTTTTGCTCAATCAGGTGCTGTGTCTGTTCACCAAATGGGGATTAATTTGTGCTAGTATATAGGTCTGTCTAGATGGATGACATAGGAGTGTCCATGATAAAAAAAAGAAAATATGTATAAATATAAATCAGTAAAAATGAACGTATTTCCTTAAACCCTGTATACATGCAACAGATGCACTCAATCTGAAAGACATAATTCATTAAAAAAAATCAATAGTCTGTCATTACAAACCATCATCTTGTTCCAAACTTGTATGACTTACTTTGTTCTGTGAGTAAATGATGACAATTAATCATTTTCCAAAAACGTTTTTTAAATATATTTTTCATGGTAGTAGAGAAGACAGTAGGTATTTTTTACATATAATGAAACATTATTTCAGACATTTAATTGAGTTTTGTAAAGATGAATGATAAAAAATGTGCATGAGAAATACATTTATGCGTGATAAATACACTGAACAAAATTATAAACGCAACACTTTTGTTTTTGCCCCCATTTTTCATGAGCTGAACTCAAAGATCTAAGACTTTTTTTATGCACACAAAAGGCCTATTTCTCTCAAATATTGTTCACAAATCTGTCTAAATCTGTGTTAGTGAGCACTTCTCCTTTGCCAAGACAATCCATCGTAAAAATTCACATGCACACATATTTATTATAATAAATATAGTAATATTATAATACATTTATTATAACAGAAAATGACTTTAAAATGAGAAATTAAAAACATATTTTTTTGAATGCAACTTTAAAGAAATTGACAGATAAACAGATAAAAAGACAAATAAATGAGTGGAATGTCATTAACCCATATATTACAGGCAAGCAATAAGACATGTTAAAACTGTGCATTTAATCCATTTATGCAATTGACAGACGCTTTTATCCATTACATTTCAAGGTATGTGTTTTATCGGCATGTGTGAAAATCAAATCCACAACCTTGGTGTTTCTAGCATCATGCTCATACCAGTTGAGCTACAGAAACATTATACTTTAAATGCTGGTTGAGCAACCACAGTGTTTACCAATGCCCTGATGCTCTCAGGATACGTGTAACACAAATAGCCATGAATTAACATATCAAAGCTCTGTACATTATGGCTGATATGGACATTTTAACATGCCAGTGTGTTAAACAAACAGCAATCAGTCAAGTAGGCTGAATACATCCACATTCACAAGCAAACGTGCCCAACCGCACACACTAAACCTGCTCTACATTCTCAATATCTGCAGACGCCTGCAGTATCGACCACTAACTCAGCGCTAAAATTCATCTGCCATCTATTTCAAATCACAGCATCTGCTTCTAATAATTCAACCCCCCCAGTGGAGAATCCAGCTCTGATTAATAGCTGATAAATCAGTATCTTGGGGTGTCATGAGCATATGTGAATATCCATGTATGTGCAGGAACCAACCAGAACCAGAATCAGCATTAGAGCTGCCAGCATCCTCCCTTCCCCCCTCATCTCCCATCCAGCCCAGCAGGGGGAAGCAGCCCTGTGTATGTGTGTGTGTGTGTGTGGTAGACATAGATAGAGAGAGAGAGAGAAGGAATGGAGAACAGACCATGAAAATGCAGTGACGTGCTAACCTCTTACACCAACCATTCATCATGTCCACATCCCGCTCAGATTGTATCTGCTCAGAGGCTCTCACAGCACACTGAGTCTAAAGCAACTCAGCCAGTAGTCTATACAAGGACCATCAGGACAAAATCTGTTCTTTTCAAGAGCTCCAAAGCACTAATATTGGCCAATTGGTAGTCCATATAAAAGTATACCCTGAATGTCTTCTGGCATTTGTCACAATCATTTCAGAAGTGAGGGGGGCAGAATGTTCACCAAGAGCATTTTTTGGGGGGGCGTTTCTCTTTGTCTTAAAGGAATAATTCACCCAAGAAGTAACTGTATAATCCATCACTCCAGTACTTTTCAAACATCTTCATTTATCAGCCTTCACTGTTTGAGCCTCACATAAATGTACCCTTTAATAAGGATAGTTCTGACTCTAATTTATGACTGGATGAGCATTTAAAGATGTAAATGCTTATAAAAACTTATGTAACCCTGGACCACAAAACCAGTCTTAAGTCGCTGGGGTATATTTGTAGCAATAGCCAAAAATACATTGTATGGGTCAAAATTATTGATTTTTCTTTTATGCCAAAAATAATTAGAACATTAAGTAAAGATCATGTTCCATGAAGACATTTTGTAAATTTCCTACCGTAAATATATCAAAACCTAATTTTTGATTAGTAATATGCATTGCTAAGAACTTCATTTGGACAACTGATTGACAATTGTGAGTGGTGTATAAATTAAAAATGTATAAAAAAAAAAAGACCCTAATGACTGGTTTTGTGGTCCAGGGTCACATATGTGACCACACCTTTTATATGAATGTATTGCCTGGCAAAAACAAAAGGCATACAGTTTTGTATTCAAACGATTATCCATTTATATCTACACTGAACAAAATTATAAACGCAACACTTTTGTTTCATCTAATATTAAATATATAATATTTATTTTTATTATTATCATACAATATTATTGTCACGCCCCTGGACTCTATCTGTGTGTTTTTCCTCCCCCACGTGCTCCATGACCCAGTTTTCTCCCATGTTAATTGTTTCATTAGTTCCAGGTGTTTCTCGTCATCCCCTTCTCTAGTCCTGTGTATTTAAAGCAAGTCCTATTCAGAGTTCCTTTGTCTGGTATTGAATGTATGTCTTTCCCAGCTACGTGTGTGTTCCTAGTTCCATTGGATGTTAATTAAAGTCTGTTTGTTTGAAGTCATCCATGTCTCCTCGTTCCTCGCTCTGTGCTCCTCACAGTAGTGGCTCGTGACAATTATTACATTTTTTGCCTTGTTTTATAATATTGCTGTTTCTGCTGTTTAACACAAGCCTCTCAAGCTGTGCATTACAGTAGGTATCACCAATAACCTCCACCTATGGATTTTACAATGGTTACATGCACAACATAAAAATAAACACTACCTCTCTGTAGAAGATTCACTGTGGCTTTTTGTTTTATGTAAAAAGGGCTTATTTACTGTACAAGCACTTGATAAAGTAGATACAAGTATCTTGAATGCTCTGGTTTTGCTAACAAAAATATTTGATTAAGCTCACCATATGGAAACTTTGCAAATAACTGGCCATATGGGATGTGAAGAAAAAACACATGCCTGTGGCAGATGTGAGAAGAGCAATCATAGAAATCTGCACGTCAGGAACATCCGTGATATGACAGAGAACAGCGCATCTTATACATGCACAAGACAACACAGATCACTTGTGTTATTTATAGAATATTCTGTAATGAGCTCTCATGATTTACAGACTCAGATGACAGGAGGATATTGTGCTCGTCTTTCAAAGGAAGTCGATGCATTTCAGAAGTTTGTCAGACCTGAAGCCACAGATCACCTCCGGGGCTCCAGGGATACTCTCAGTCTAGCAAAACAGAGCAAGACGAGAAAAGAAACGACACTGATGGAGAGGATTGGGGAGAGAGACAAGTAAGAAAAAAACAGAGTGAGTGTGTTTCTGGCCAACAAACTGCTCATTAGTGTAACTGAGAGTTTAAGACCTGACCTTGCTCGCCAGAGAATAAGCCTCTCTTTTAATAACAGGCTCACTGAAAATAAAATTCTGAGTGGCTCATCATTCCTAGTCACCTGACTCCATGAGACAACCAATAAAGTAGAGTTTGCATTGCAACTCATTGATCCAAACCTGTATGACTTTCTATCATCTGTGGAACATTAAAGGTTTTTGGTGAAAAAGCATCATAAGTGATTCATTTGACTCCATATGACTATATTCTACTGTAAGTCCTCTGAAGTCATATGAAAGTCTTGACATCTGCCCTAGATCTCTTTGAAAGTTCAACACAGTTCATTCGAGAACTAGCAATGACCGATTCTTCTTCTGAGTCCTATTTTTTTAAATGAATTTATTGTTTCAGTTCTGCATATGACTGATTATGTTCTCAAATTCAACTTACTGACTCACTTGTCAGTTAACAGCCTTTGGAGAGAAAGATTATCCGTGAATAAGGACCTTTTTGAAGCTTTAAATCTCCAGTTCTCATTCATTGTTATTGCATGAAGAAAGTGACCAGCCAGATTTGTGAACCAGATCAATTGGTTCACCGAAAAGAACTGACTCAAAAGAACACAAATCAAATTGGTTTGATTCTCGAGTTTGGATCACTAAGTAAAAAAGGTTTGTTGTATACAAAAATAGTATAGCTTAACACTTTATGGTTCTTTTTTTATAGTCCTTTTTATCATTTTTGGAGCTTGTTCACTATAAACTGCTGCTGTAAATAAAATAGCTGTGTGAAGGCTCTTCAAAATTATTCTGTATGTGTTTCATAGAAGAGTCATACAGGTTTGGAACAACATGAGAGTAAGTAAATGATGACAGAATTTTAGCATTTTCATTTTTGGTGAACTGTTCCTTTAAGACATTATGCAGAACATTATTTAATATTCAAGCCAGTGTGTACACCTATTAAATATTAAAACACTTCCACTGGCACTTAATTACATTTCACAAATTATCAAATGGAAATGTGTATTAGCGTGAGTGAGTTTCTGTGCGTTTTATAGTCTTACCCCTGTCGGTGTCGTAGAGAAAGACGAATCGATTCCAGTCATAGTGGTCTAGCAGGCTTAGAAGGGCCCCTCGTATGGAGGGCCGCAGCTGTAAGACGAACTGGCTCTCGCCCTCGGTAGGGAAACTGGGCGTGATAAGGGAGATGTGTAGCGCGCCACAGAAGGATGTTAGCGTGTGAACCGACCTCTTATCGTACAGGCCAAAAATGGCGAACACGCCCCGCGAGTACTGCGAACAGACTGCAAAACACAAAACCACAGAGGAAGAGAGAGAGAGTTAGATGCTTAAAACATTAATTACACAAAACCTGAAGGAGTACTTAACATTTACTCCACTTTAGAGCATTAGGACCCTGCTTACGTTAGTGTTCTGATATAGGACTTCTCTGTAGGTGTTTGAAACATTAATGAAACCGCCTGGGAGACCCTTCCACCACCTGAACAAGCAGATTCTTTAAATGAAGTCTATTATGAACTTACTTTTGTACTGTAGTTTTGAATGTTACAGAAGAATGGCTAATTTGCAAAACACGAAATACTAAATATATTAAAATAAATTAAATAAATGAAAATTCTGCAATTTCAGTCAATAACTTGTAAGGTAGGTGCACACACACCCACACTGCTTCTCCCCGTGTTTTAGCAATTCTGAGAAACTTCAGTGGCTGCTGAGACAACGTCTGATCTACTGCCTCAGTCTGAAGTGAGTAGTTAAGCAGGCCCGTTTCTGAAAATGTCTCTCATGTCTGACAGTCTTGCAGTTATTGTCAGTTTTCCCCTTTTCATATTTCTTTCTTGCAGCAAGTCCGACTTCTCAGCTTTGAAGCTTAACTGCAGCACGCTAATGGAAAAAACACCTGGCTTTGATGATTTTTGCTTTCCCGTTTCTGTTCCGAACAAACAGCCAAAAAGTCAGAGGCACGTCAAAACTAACAACTCGCTATGTACGCTCACGGCAATGAGGGCATTATTGTCATCGTACACAAGTAGGCTCGTTTAATCGTATCGTAATTACATATTGCTGAACGTGCTTTGTCATAGTTAGTTATTTTTGTATGACTTTTGTATGATTGGCACTAGCATGTGTCTGAAAGTAATTGTGGATTATTAGCGGGATCTTATTGTGTCATAAGTATAGGCTCTTTGATCATGGATATCTCCATGACTGCACAGACTACATCTGCCTCGGACTGGGGGAAGGGAACGGAAAGACACCTGGATCTGACGGTGGGAAGCATCATTCCCACAGAGAAGCAGAGGCTAGTCACACACACACACACACACACACACACACACTTCAATATACAAAGCCAAACCAAGAACATACAGTGTTTCCAAACCTTTTTTGTCTTATGCACATGTACAGCCCCATTATTAAGCCTCAAGTACCTATTCATTGACAAAAACAGTAATGTGTTCACACTGTACATGATATAATTTAGTACCATCAACAATATCATCAAATAAGACATTTTAAACAACAATAGCAAAAAAATATTGCGAGAAAAAATAAAAAAAGTAGCATAGTTCAAAAGTTTTGTTTTTTTAAAGAGGTCATATGATGCGATTTAAATTTTTTCTTTCTCTTTGATGTGTTACAAGCTCTTGGTGCATAAAGAAGATCTGTAAAGTTGCAAAGACTAAAGTTTCAAATCCAAAGAGATATTCTTTATAAAAGTTAAGAGTCAACCACGCCTACCTAAAACGACTCGTTCTAACACGCCCCCACATGTCTACGTCACGATGTGGGAAGATTTGCATAACGCCACCCAAATGTTCACGCAAAGAAAGAAGGCGTAACTTTTATTCTCGCTGTAGTATTGTTGCTGCCGCCGCCATGTCGTGAAGATGCTGTGTGTTTCGTTGTGAAAGCGAAACTACTTTGTTTGGCCTTCCAAAAGAGGACAATATCCGCTTCGTCATGCCTAGAGTTGATCCGTGCTGGTCGCTGAGGGAATACATCAAGAATACATCAACTTTGCGCTGTGGATCGCTGGATCGACTTTCAGCGTGGATGAAGCGGAGTCCAGTCCGGGGTCGTCACATGTGGTTGCCGCAAGCCCGCCGGCCACTCCTTCGTCGAATCCGCCGGCCGCGCTGTTCTCAAGTCCGCCGGCCGTTCCTCACTCAAGCCCGACATGTGTGACGCTGTGTGTTTGTTGTGAAAGCGAAACTACTTTGTTTGGCCTTCATAGAGGAGAAACAATAATGTACAGTATGTGGAAAATAATGTGTTTTTTTTTACCTTAAACCGCATAAACACATTTCATTACACCAAATACATCATATGACCCCTTTAATGTTTTTGAAAGAGTTATTTTATGCTCAGAGTCTGCATTTATTTGATAATAAATACAGCAAAAACAGTAATAGTGTGAAATATTATTAGAATTTAAAAGAACTGTTTTCTATTTTCTAATTTATTTTGAAATGTAATTTATTTCTGTGAAGGCAAAGCTGAATTTTCAGCAGTCATTACTCCAGTTTTCAGGGTCACATGATCCTTCAAAAATCTAACATGGTGATTTGATGCTCAAGTAACATTTCTTTCTTATGTTAAAATGGCTGAGCTTTGTGAGAAAATAGAAGTACAAAATCTTTTGTAACATTATAAACACATTTACTGTCACTTTCGATCAATTTAATGCATCTTTGCTGAATAAAAGTATTGATTTCTTTAAAAAAAATATTACACATGACCACAAATGTTTGAACTGTTGTGCATAATTTATTTTTCTATCACAATATCTGTAGTTATTGTTGTTTAAAAGGTCCTATTTAATAATAATGTTGATGCTACCAGTGCCAGACACACAAATTTTAAAACACATTCCATACATTATTGTTTTCTTTCATGAAAAAAAATTCATGAAATGAATATTATAATTTTAATATATTATAATTTCGTTTTAAATAACAGTTAAATATATTCTTCTTCTTATGAATTTCCAAGTAACCTCAGCGATACACATGGTCTGTTCTAAAACCAGTTGTGTTTGTTCTACTTATTATATTTGCACACCAGCAAAAACCACACACAAAGTCAGCTCACACACCCTTCAACATCTGCACTACACTTGAACAATTTTGTCTGAGACCTGCATACCAAGTCACAACGCCATAGGCTAGTTGTTTATCCAATCAGGGAGAGAGATTGCGTCAGACTTTTCACCCTGCAGTCGCTCTGTTTCACCTGATTTGTAGTTAACCCTCTTTTGAATGCTGCTAAATACATTCTCTCACAGCGCATGCCACAAAAATGAGCACAAAGAGAACAGTATTGTCTCAACTTCCGCAATTTTACTGTCAGTTTCCTGTCATTCCAATCCACACAGCTCTAGAACACAGAAAATCGTATGCCAGCACTCATTACATTGAAGATAAGTATAAAATAAGCCGTTCAGATTTCTGTAATAACATTTAGTGGCCAATATCTAACAGAAATGTCTAGTGTTGTTATCTATGAATTAAAAAATTCTTATTTTAGTACTGTGATGAAGTATGGTGTATAATACTGTCAAACTACTCTAAAAGACAATTAGTCATCAACACACACTGTTATGGACTTTAAAGTCTGTTCAGAGTAAGACGGTGGTACCATCTTTCCCTCAAACGAATGGTTGTCCACTGATCATGACATGAGCGTGTATCTAAAACAATGTGGGAGGGCTGAGAGCTGCTGCACTGAATTGCTATATAAACACATACATATTTAAAACCTGCTTATCTTTATTGGTACAACGTATATAGGGCCTAATTACCAATTACTCTGGGATTGCTGGAAAATAACAATGACAACACTGATTATATTATTTAGATATTAAAATCCTGGCCAGTAAACAACCCAATAATTATTTTCATGTTCTGGCTGATAACAAAAATAAAAAAAAATAAATAAATAGGCAATATAAAACATTTTATACTTTGTAAGAAATAACAATAATATGAACACTTGAATACAACAAAGTAAAATCAAATGTTTTAAATGCTACAAAAACAAACAAAAAAAACTTTAGATATAAATGATGGAAATTGGATATTCATTTAGACATTTGCTAAAGATTACATTTAACAGTGTTGTTACTGTTTTTAAAGATTAACTTTAAAAGAGCATCGGATGACGGCAAAGGTATCTCTAATATCTAAATGCAAATACATATCATATCTAAATGTAAAAATACAGGAAATGAGCATGAACAATTAAGTGTAAAGTTGTCTGATATTCATCCAATATCTACCAAGAAAATTCAAAATTCTGAAATTCCCTACTATTGGACAATAACCAGTATTGCAGCAATTTAGTGCAAAATATCAAACATGTAAAATATGTCTATATATACACTGAACAAAATTATAAACGCAACACTATTGTTTTTGCCCCCATTTTTCATGAGCTGAACTCAAAGATCTAAGACTTTTTCTACGTACACAAAAGGCCTATTTCTCTCAAATATTGTTCACAAATCTGTCTAAATCTGTGTTAGTGAGCACTTCTCCTTTGCCGAGATAATCCATCAACCTCACAGGTGTGGCATATCAAGATGCCACCGTACGCATGTCCTAAAAGGTTGAAAACCCCTGCACTAAGCAAATAGTCCACCTTGTTCACACTAGCTCCACCCACCAATGTCTGGTTGGCATAGACAACATTACTAAAGATGCACATCATGCAACAGGCTCAGTGACGTAGGGTGTAAAGTGCACGACTCCGTTTTGATGCGATCGACCTAGAGTTGGAATCCACCTTTTGCTGAACTCATTCTTCTCTTTTTTCCCATCATATATCAGATCGGAATATACATTTATTTTCAATAAAAATGAAGGAAATATTTAAAAAATGGAAATAATTCACTAGAAGAGGAGAGAAGGAGAGTAGAGAAAAGGGCAGGGGGCCCTTACAACCCAGGGGCCTCTGAATTCTTAATCCGGGCCTAGTGCACAGTGTCAAATGCATCATCAACAACAACTGAATGTTTTAATGAAATAGAGACGAGCTTCATGAGCAGGTCTTTAGGGGAAACCACAGTCAGATTTTTGATCTCGCCTTGGTCTTAAGACTACATAAATGTGTTTCAGTCACACTTCCCCTGTCTGCAGGGCTGGATAGCTACTAAAATCACCACACATATCCCTGGGGAGAGAGAAAGTGGGGGTAGGGTGGAGGTGTATGCGCTAAAGGGGACACGGAGGCTGCTTGTAGCAATCTAGACTGCAATTACGCTAGCAAGATTCGCACCAAA